GTTGTGTTTACTGGTGTTGCAATGCATATGTATTATGTACCTATGACAGAAATGTAGTAGACAGAAATGTAAACATAGTTCCATAGTGTTACGTAAATCTTTGGTAACTATTATACATTTATGAGACGTCACACCTGAGGAACTTTGAGGCAGACATTTAACCTTCCATGTGCTTTACTATAACATTGCAAGTGATATAGTAGTAACATTTAGGAAACAAATGTTAAGTAGTTATAACATTGATGTGACATAAATGTTCTAATTGGGAAGCAGTAAAATATTTTTGATGCTCTGATTTCTTACTCTTAAACATTGTCGGTGAAGCCTATTTTTTTCTATAAATTTTTGTTTATTTATATCAACGATATAATTTTGACATTTTTCTTTATGTATTTAAAAATATTTTAGTTTAAGTACTTGTATTATATCCCAGGCAACCAGCTGACGTTATAATGACGTTAATATAAAGTCAGTTTTTGACCAGTTCGACGTTAGTTTNTGACGTGATATTAACGTAATGACGACGTGAGTGTGTCTCGTCAAAAATGACGTCATGTTAATGACGTTTACTTACGTCATTAATCTGACGTAAGGTGATTAACGACATCCCACATAGCACGTAATATTACTGCATCACACACAATATTGCTTTTCTATTGCAATATTACACTCTAATATAATAGAAATATTATCGTAATGTTAATGTAATATCGCAATAATATTAAAATGTCCGCCAAAATGCATCACAGTAATATTACAATGATATGTAAAAAAAACTAATGGCACATCGTAAGAGGAGAATTAATTTGAGATTTCACTCAAATTAATCTTTGGAGTTCTGATTCAGTTTGTCGATCAACTAAACTAATTAACTCAGTGAAAGGTATTAGGTCCGGAAAAAATCCTGAGGTGATGGTGAGATTTGAACTCGAGACTTCCATATTTGCAGCCTCTGCGCTCAGTCCGCAAGACCACTTGTTTCTTACTTAAAATATATTTCTTTTCTCTGCTTATTCTCAAGCTATTATCAAGCTATTCTACGCATTTCATTTATTACTTATTTAAATCATTATTTTATTAAAAATATTGCAGTGCAATATTTGTAATAAACAAAATAATTTAAATAAGTAATTACAAATATTGCACTGCAATATGTTTAATA